TTCTACTAAGACCGGTTTCAAATATATTGTCACCTTTATCGATGATCACACCCGTTACAGTTCCATCTATCTTTTGAAATCTAAGAACCAAACGTTTGAATGCTTCAAAAACTACAAAACTTTGATGGAAAAGAAATGTGGGAAGAAAATACTCAAGTTAAAATCGGACAGAGGAGGAGAATACTCCTCGACCGACTTTCTCAATTTCCTTAAGCAGGAAGGAATTGAAATTGAGCGGGGTCCTTCTGAACGCCCAACGGCAAACTCTGTCTCTGAACGCTTCAATCGAACTCTTTTGGGACGTTTGCGTAGTCAACTCATTCAAGCTGGACTACCGCTGCATCTATGGGGAGAACTTGCAAAATACTCAGTTTTACAAATTAATTGTTCCCCTCATGCTGCTTTATCTCACAAATCTCCTTTGGAGGTGTTCGAGTCTATCATTCCTGGTCATATTCATCCATTTGACTATGATTGCCTCAAACCTTTTGGCACCCTTTGCTTTGCTGTTGATCGAGCTCAAAAATCCAAGGTGGGACCTTTAGCTAGACGTTTCATTTTTGTCGGCCTCGAAGAAGGGGCTAGGGCTGCTCGGCTTTGGGACAAAAAGACCGGTCGGGTATTTGTCACTGGGGATGTCGTGTATCGAGAAGATCAATTTCCTGGTCTCCATCCCACCTTCTCACCTAATGTTCCTAAGGAACTCATCATACCCATCTTCGCTGAATTGATACCCCCTCCTTCGAGCGCTGTTCCATCAAATCCGGAACCGGGGACGTCAACACCTACTGGGATTCAGACTCCGCAAATCTCTACTCCGCCATTACCTGGGACTCCAAAACCAGACGAGACGAATAAAAACATCACACCGACTCATTCGATCTCGTCGGGCCAATCTCCAGATAGAGATAGATCACAAGCTCCATCGCCAGTATATCCCAGAGTAAGGATTCCTTTGAGTGCTTCAATTCATGCACCGAGACTAGCTGTCGAGTCACCGAACCGATTTGAACGTTTACAAGACTTATCAACAACACATCTTCAGAATGTTACGTATTGGGATAATGATATGGTGGATTCTCAATCAGATCCGTCTATTCATTCGTCGGCTCCTTCAGTAAACTCTTCTCTTTCACCAATCCATGTTAACCCTGAAGATGTTCAATTACCACAATCCGTATCCTCATCACCAATGTCTCCTATTCCCTCTGTTCATTCTATCAATAGGAACAATCCGTCTGAATCTTCACTGCCAGAATCACCGACTCGACAGAGTGGTCAAACTGAATCATTCAAACGAGACCCATCAAAGTCACCGTCACCGCCTCCGCCTACGGTTCAGACTCCACAACCATCACCGGTTCAACAACAACCTCCACCGAAATCAAACTCACAGCCTCAACCAGTCCGACGGTCAGGGCGGACCAAAACAGCACCTGATCGATACGGTTTTCCAACAAACTCAACCTCCATCGCCACAGTATCTAGTTTCGAATCACCGACCAAGACCGACAAGAAAACAATCATGCCAGATCGTTATGGTTTTTCAGCGACCACTGGATCTGATCCTGATAGCCCAACTTATTCTCAGGCTATGTCTGGTCCGGATGCACAAGCATGGAAACATGCGATGGAACAGGAATTTGATTCCTTAATGGAGCATGCTGTAGGGACTCTCGTTGATCCGCCACCAAATGCGAATGTCCTTGGGGGGATGTGGGTCTTCAACAAGAAGCAAGATGAACATAATCGCGTCGTACGTCACAAAGCGAGATGGGTTGTCCTTGGAAATCATCAAATCAAGGGCTTAGACTACAATGACACCTACGCCTCTGTCGCCAAGATCAATTCACTCCGAATTCTGCTAGCTCTATGCGTTGCAAAGCAATCGAAACGCATGAAGATTCGACAATTTGATATCGTGACGGCTTTCCTTAACGGAGATATGAAGGATTTGGTTTATGCACGTCAAGTTTTAGGTTTTGAACATCCCACACAACGTCATCGTGTCTGGCTCCTAATTAAATCTCTTTATGGAACAAAACAGGCAGCACGGCGATGGCAGCAACATTTCGGTGCAACAACTACCGGTTTCCAAATCTATCCAATCTCTTCTGACTCAGCAGTTTATATCCTGAAATGCAAGCTCGGTCTGCTAATCCTTCATCTTCACGTGGACGACTCATTGGTGTTCTGCGACAGCGATGACCTATTCTTCAAGTTTCAAACCTTTATCAACTCGAAATACACACTCAAATGGACCGAAAAACCAACTCTGTACCTTGGCATCAGACTCGACATTGCTGACGACGGATCATATATTAAGATATCTCAATCACATTATATTGAGTCCTGCCTCGAACGCTTCGCTATGGTTAATTGTAAGGCTGCTAGGACACCGCCTCCTCAACGAACTAAATTATTACCTGGTTCTGCAGGGGAAATTGAGGAAGCCAAAGACATTCCCTATCAAGAACTAGTAGGATGTCTTCAATGGATTTCAACCTGTACTCGACCTGACATCTCATACGCCGTATCTCAACTCTCAAGGTATAACTCAGCCTGGACTCTAGCACACTGGACAGCAGCTAAACACGTCTTACGATATCTTCGTGGAACTCAAAATCTCTCAATCACTTACTCTGGGGGGACTGATGAACCTGAGGCATACTCCGATTCTGATTTTTCTCAATGTGCTTTGACTCGGAAATCTATAACCGGTTATGTTATCAAAGTATCCAACGGTGCGGTTTGCTGGAAATCTCAACGACAACCGGTGGTCGCGTTATCAACCTCTGAGGCCGAATACCTTGCAGCTACTGAGTGCTCTAAACACATGGCATGGGTTCGATCTTTTTACTTTGACATATTTCACCAATTAGAACAACCTACTCCTTTCTATATAGATAACACATCAGCAATCTTTAAAGCCACGGGAGACGGGATAAAATCAAGATCAAAACATATTGACCGACGATACCACTATATCCGTGATATGATACAATCTAATCAACTCATAGTTCACCATATTCCGAGTGAAGAAATGTTAGCAGATCATCTTACAAAGCCTCTAGGTCCTCAAGCAATACAACATGCACTACAGTTGAATAATATGGTATAGAAATGCTTTTGAAATAGGGGGGATGTTGGAGTTTTAATATTCAATATGTAACAATTCAAATTACACATTTCACACGATAGACATTTTAAAACCTATGTTATTATTTCTTTATCATTTACTTAATATTGCATATGTAGCTTTGTATGTTTGTTTTAGGTTTAATGTTGTTTTATCACTTTTCTTAACCTATGTACCGTTTGAGAACAATACTGTTAAACCTGGAAGAGCAGCGAATGGAGTCTTCTTTCCTCATCCAAGATTTTCTACTTTCTTCTTGGGTGAAAGGTGAGTTGACTCCGTTCGTGGGATTGAATAGGTTCATAAGGTTCTGTTTCTGAACCATATTAATCCCTGCTCTGACAGGTATGTAGTTTAACTATTTTCTTCTTGGGTGAAAGGTGAGTTGACTCCGTTCGTGGGATTGAATAGGTTCATAAGGTTCTGTTTCTGAACCATATTAATCCCTGCTCTGACAGGTGAGTTGACTCCGTTCGTGGGATTGAATAGGTTCATAAGGTTCTGTTTCTGAACCATATTAATCCCTGCTCTGACAGATTTGTAACACCGACTACAACTACATCCACAACTACGACTACAACTATGGTTTCTTCTTATTCAAATGACTCGTCAGGAACGATTTCAGGACTTGATTAATTGACTTCCTTGAAATCCTCAGGACCCAACATACAAATCACTCATCATTATCAAGTTTGATCAAATTGAAAAACTGGAATTTGAGATTGATCTTCACAAGAATTCATCCAGATGATCTGAGACATTTAGACATCAATAAATCCAGAGAAGTTATGGAAAAATTGATGAAGAAATCTGAGATTTGCAGATTATCTGTAATGATAAACCTGCTCATGAGACTCTCCTTACTAAAGCTGATTATGTAAGGGTTACACAGGAGACAATAGGTCATGGGATTAGGATCATGGGATTAGTTAGATTTCACTTTACCTTTCTCCTCAACGCCCGGCTTCGGAAAGTCCTCACTCATCTGAGAGCCTTATTTTGGACTTTCTGGAGCTAGGTGAGATTTCTTTCTCTTATCATTTCTTTGTAGTCTTTTCATCGGATTAGTTTAGCTGACTCATCTGAGAGCCTTATTTTAGACTTTCTGGAGCTAGTTTTAGTCTCGTAATATATAAAGAAGTTCATAGTTAGTGCTCTCGAGTGAGTCGTGCCGGACAAAGTTTCCGGACTTCAGTGAAGGTTATACCTACCTTACACTTTTTTTAACTATTCACTTCGAATATACCCCGGATTTTCTCTGTTATCACATTCCTGTCAAATCTGTCAATCGGTCAATTTTTTTTTTCAAAGACATCAAACTCAATCTGTCTCTGCTATACGTACTCTCTGTCAACAAGTTTCATCAAAGTCAATCAACCGTCCCATCACATCCCCCCTACACCTCTGCGAAATAGCACAGGCATCTTAGTTGTTTCCCACCTTTCGGATGACCGAACGGTTATCTTGTAAACCGGATAATTTTCTCGACAATCCCGATATCTTATTGAAACGAGCTCGAAAGGGAAAACAGACGATCAAATCGCAAGACGGTGACTCACCTCCGGCACCGCCACCTCCCAAGTTTAATTGGAGACCAGAGGTGTCCGTCTCAGGATCACCTGCCAACACAGACCGCACCCTTTACGCATCAGGGTTTGGTAGAACGCAGAGTGTGCCGGGATCAGCACGACCTACCTTCTCACCACCGTCTATATCGCCAGCAGCGTCAGAGTCAACGGTCATTAACCTACACTTCCAGAAACTACTGGGACGACTAGATCAGACGCCACGTGTACCTGGACATCTATCTGCGGAATCTACTCCTGCACCGGCTACGCTCACGTGCACATCTGGCAACACCATGCCTGAAGAGATGGATACCATCGAGTCCCTGAGACGTGAAGTCGCACGGTTAAAGATGCAGAACGAGGCCTTGGAGGAGTCTCGAAGGGAAACAACTCACCTCCAGGGCTTGGTCAGACAACTGTTGAAAGGAAGATCGCGTGAAGATTCAACTCAACGAGAACAATCTAGCGCGGGCAACCGGTCCGGATCCTCGACCAACCCATTTGATCGGTTCACACATCAAGAACCCTTGACGCCAACACCCTTACCGAAATCGGCGACAGTCAGCACACAACGCGCAGGAGTGACAACCCTTTGGGACCAACCTCAGCCATCCAGCGCGCCAGCTACTATGACAGGCACCACCCCTCGACCGTCGTCAACGCCACTAGCAGGACAACGTGTCACGTGGTCAGACACCGTTCGTCAACCATCGACGGCTTCGAGACCTACATCGACTCAGACTCCTGTAACGACGGCTCCCACATCGCATCGGCACCAATTGTTCGAGACTTTGCCACGCATCGCCCTTCTCCACTTCGCATGGTCTCGCCGCGCTATCATCCCGTACTGGAGGACTCATTTCCAGACCACACGGAGGGGCGTCTGTTGCCTAGTCAGATTGTCAATACCCCAGCAAGCGCTAACGCCTCGATGACAGCAGACCGTGTGAAACTGAGCGACTTGCCAAAGTTCACGGGGAAGTTTGGCAAGCCAGCGGACCTCTTCCATTGGAGATCAGTGATAGAGGAAACTTTTGAAGTTAAGAATATCACCGATGACCACGAGAAACTGAAGCTGCTCGGATCCTTGATCAATGACGAAGAGATGGGATCGTGGTATCAATCTAATAAGGAGGATCTGCGACAAATGACGTGGGTTGACGCGATGAACACCATGGCGACAGGTACACTACCACATGCCTGGGTATCCGACACAGAAGGAGCCTTACGAAAATTGGAAATGCGGTCCACTGAGTCATTCGAAGCTTATGTCAGCAGGGCTCAAGGCCTGCACCGATTGTTGAAACGCTTAGGCCGCACGACCGATCTTCAATTAGTGGAGTACATCACATGGGGTGCTCCTCAACTATTTCGTGATATGATCCAACGCGAAAAGCATCTAGAGGCGAAGCCTTTTTCATTCCCGGTATTCAAGGACGCGGCCAACGGGATTTGGCGCTTCTTGGTCCACAGCAAGCTTCATCCAGACCCAAGTACTAAGACCAAGACTACCGCATCGACTGGAAACGTTAGTCAAAACTTCACGACTCCCAATCGAAACCCTTTTCGCACCAGAACCGATGAAGAGCGAGCCGATAATGGCTGGCGCTACCACGAATATCTCAGAAAATCTGGCATCTGTGCAGTTTGTAAGGAAAAGTGCAATAACCCAAACTGCACCAAACGAAACGCTCGGTTTCTGTCGGTTCCAGCCAACTTTGATGCTGGACCTCGCCCAACACGCTCAACTGCGGGAGGCCGACCTTCACAGCCAGGCATGCCAACCCAACCACCGGCAGGCAGACCTATCAATGTGTCTTCTTCAACCAGGGTCGCATCGGTGGACACCTTCCCAGACATCCTCGCCGAAGATATCGCTGCTTATGAAGAGGCTGATAAGTTTCGAGAAGTGCAAGTTGAGACCTTGGCTGAAGAGGAGACGAGGTGCGTCCCAAAGGTTCCAGTTTCTCCAATCATCTTGGAACTGACCTGTAATGGAAATCTTGTTCGTGCGCTTATTGACTCGGGTGCAGGGACAAACCTTCTGTCAGACAAGATGGCAAGTGAATTACGCCTGGCCCAACGACCACTGGTGGCTCCTGTTGAGGTGCGTTTAGCAATCAATACTCAGGGAGCACCTGTCGTGTTGAAGCATTTCACAATTGCTAACCTCAAGTCGGAAAATCCTAGGTTGCAGTTCGGGGCAGTGTTCTTCAAGCTGGCGCCATTGGGGGGAGGTTATGATATGATTCTGGGTTCACCATTTCTCTCAAAGTTCAAATTAGATGTATCTCTCCATCGCTGTTGTGTGCTACATATACCTAGTGGAAAAGTCTTATATGAAAAGGAAATGCAAGCAGAGTTTCAAAGGTTGATGTGTGCAGTCGTGAACTTGGAAAAAATTAATGATGTGCAAGAGTTGGGTGAGAAAGAGTCAAAGATGTTAAAGGAGTTTGAAGATGTTTTCCCCGCTGAACTGCCTCCAGTAGACGAGAATGATGAAGCTGTAGAAGTCTTCCCAGAAGGATTGCCAGAAGCGACGCGTCAAGTGCGGCACAAGATCATCCTCACGGATCCTAACGTAGTGATCAATGAAAAGCAGTACGGCTATCCACTGAAACATAGAGAGTCATGGCGAAGGCTTATTGACCAACATCTGGCGGCAGGGCGCATCCGACGATCACAGAGTCAGTATGGTTCACCATCTATGATAATTCCGAAAAAAGATCCCAACGAACTACCTCGGTGGGTATGTGATTATCGAACCTTGAATAAATTCACCGTGAAGGACCGCGCACCGCTGCCTAATGTGGATGAAGCTGTTAGACTTGTCGCAACAGGAAAGGTTTGGTCCGTCATTGACCAAACAAACTCCTTCTTTCAGGACCACATGCGCGAAGAAGATATCCCTCTGACCGCAGTGAAGACACCGTGGGGGTTGTATGAATGGGTAGTGATGCCCATGGGGCTCACAAATGGACCGGCTACGCACCAGGCACGTAATGAAGAGATCTTGGGGGAACTAGTTGGAAAAATCTGTGTTGTTTATATTGACGACATTGTTATTTTTTTTGCAAAGCATTGAAGAACACGAGGTCCATCTACGAATTGTCTTGGAGCGGTTGCGTCAGGCCAAGCTCTATTGCTCTCTCAAGAAGAGCAAACTTTTCCGCCGCCAGATCAAGTTCCTGGGTCATAATATCAGTGAATCCGGAGTCTGTCCAGATGACGAGAAGGTCGAAAAAGTCTCCAAGTGGACCTCTCCCTCTAATGCTAAACAACTTCTGAAATTCTTAGGCACAGTCCAATGGATGAAGAAGTTCATAGACGGCCTTTCGCACTACGTGGGTACCTTAACACCGTTGACAAGCACGTCCTTGAAAGGAAAACCTTTCAAATGGGGGCAAGCCGAAGAGAACGCCTTTAACAACATCAAGAAGCTTATAACAACCTTACCAGTTTTACGAAATCTGGACTATGACTCCGACGAACCACTATGGCTGTTCACAGATGCGAGTGGTACAGGACTTGGAGCTGCTTTGTTTCAAGGAGCTAAGTGGGATACCTCATCTCCAATTGCTTATGAAAGCCGCACCATGAATCCGGCAGAGCGGAACTACCCGGTTCACGAGCAGGAACTTCTGGCAGTTATCAATGCGCTCAACAAGTGGAAGCTCTTGTTATTAGGCATGCGAGTCAATGTGATGTCGGACCATCACTCATTGACGACACTGTTGACTAATCGTAATCTGAGTCGCCGGCAAGCAAGGTGGCTAGAAACCTTATCGCAGTTCGATTTGGATTTCCGTTACCTGAAAGGGCAAGACAATTCAGTCGCCGATGCCCTATCCAGACGCGAGGAGGTAGCGGTTTGCGAAATCCAAGCGTCCTTACACCCGGACGAAGTGGACACAATCCGATCAGGTTATGAACACGACGCCTTTTGCACCAAACTTCGGAAGGTGCTGCCGCTACGAGAAGATTGCGTAGTTAAGGACAACCTGCTCTATTTAGATGGTAGGTTGGTGGTACCAAGCTACGGTAATCTACGACACGAGTTCATTAGCCAGGCGCACACAGCATTAGGTCACTTGGGCGTCTTCAAGACTTTGACTCGCCTAAGACACACCTTTTTTTGGCCGGGTATGTCAAAAGACGTCGACATCCAATTGAAATGTTGCGACTCTTGCCAGCGTAACAAGGCCCGGACGACAGCAGCCCCTGGGAAATTACAGTGCCCAGACGTACCACATCAACCAATGGAATCAATCGCGATCGATTTCATTGGACCATTCCCAAAAGTGGCCGGATACAATATGATTTTATCCTGTACTTGCCGACTGACGGGTTTTGTGCGTTTGATACCGACATCGCAGAAAGACACAGCAGAGCGCTCAGCATCACGACTCTTCGGCGCCTGGTCCTCAATCTTCGGTCTCCCAGCATCTATAATTGGGGATCGTGATAAGGCTTGGACATCAAGATTTTGGAAGCGCTTGCATGAACTGCTTGGCGTAAGGGTGAATCTGTCCACATCTTACCATCCTCAAGCTGACAGACGTAGTGAACGATCGAACAAAACGGTTGGGCAAATTCTGCGGCATCTAGCAAGCGAACGTCACGGGAAGTGGTTCCAGTCCCTGCCTTCAGCCGAATTCGCGATCAACTCAGCAGTCAACGTGGCGACGGGGGTATCACCACTTCACTTCGTCTACGCACGGATCCCTCGGTTGTTCCCAGTTAGCAACCTGTCAGAAACCGAAGACGCCGACGTTAAACATTGGATCGAACGAAGACAGTCCGAGTGGGGAGCTTGGCGTGACCAACTGTGGTGCAGCAAGGTAGACCAAGCAACTCAATACAATCTTAGGCGCCGGGAGGGCACACCTTTCAAGGTGGGGGATCGAGTTCTGATTGATAGCCTGGACAGGCAACAAGTCGTGGGTGGCAAGTCGAGAGGCACTGGGAAATTGAGAGCCCGGTACAATGGGCCGTACGAGGTTCTAACCGTGTTGAATTCAGGACGCGATTTTCAACTGCGCCTAGGAGCTAATGATTCCTCCTACCCGGTATTTCACATATCAAAGCTCAAGCTATACCACCCGGACGAGTTCAAGAACACAAACATTGCAACCGTTGAACAGGTCTCGTCACAACCGAAAAACACCCCAACTGAGTCTCGAAAGGAGCCCTTGGGGCATGCTAGGCAACGTGGCGAGGGGGTGTGTATCAAAATTGATACGTTAGCACCCCCGCAATGTGAGTCTTTTAACGTTTTTCTACCTTGTTTTAAAGAAAACCCTGGCAAGCACTCCTCTCTTCGAATTAGTAGTATAAATCGCCGACATCACAACACAACCGCCGAGGAATCAACACCGGACATTTCACTTGCAGCCACGAAATTGGCTTTGTCGTTGCCGAAACATCCCTTTTCGGTCCTGGAGTTGGAGCCACTGGGGCATGCTAGGACAATTGACAAGGGGGTGTGCATCTAAACGACGCGTTAACAGCCCCGCAATGTGAGTTTGATAGCGTTTTTTCTTCTCATCATTTTCGTGAAATGGCTGGCAAGCAAATTTCTCTCCTAGAAAGCAGATCTCTGTCGACGAATTCAAAGGAGTAGCAAGTCAAGGAAGATATCTGCAAGGCATCAACGACGAAGGAACTCATTTTCATATTCTTTACTAACGCAAATCAGCAAGACAGCAAGAATGACATTATGATTCAACGTCAAGACATCAAGTTCTCAAGAAAATCAGTTCACATTATTATTATAAATTCATGAATTAAACCTTAACACATCCACCTTATCACATTTTGCTTAAATATTTTTCGACTCATCAAGTTTTGTTCAATTTTTTAGTTTTTTTCATTCTCCTTTCAATTTTGTTAACAAATTTTTCTCTTTTTCTGTTTTTATTGCACTGGGACGAGTTATGGTCTATTTTTTGGGGCGAGTTATGCCAGTTTTTTCTTTTCGTCTTCAAATTTTTTTTATTTGGTTTTTTTTGGTTAGTTGAATTTTGAAGGGGGTTTTATTTTTAGGAAGGGAGGGTGTAAGGGTTACACAGGAGACAATAGGTCATGGGATTAGGATCATGGGATTAGTTAGATTTCACTTTACCTTTCTCCTCAACGCCCGGCTTCGGAAAGTCCTCACTCATCTGAGAGCCTTATTTTGGACTTTCTGGAGCTAGGTGAGATTTCTTTCTCTTATCATTTCTTTGTAGTCTTTTCATCGGATTAGTTTAGCTGACTCATCTGAGAGCCTTATTTTAGACTTTCTGGAGCTAGTTTTAGTCTCGTAATATATAAAGAAGTTCATAGTTAGTGCTCTCGAGTGAGTCGTGCCGGACAAAGTTTCCGGACTTCAGTGAAGGTTATACCTACCTTACAGATTACAGATTTTGGATTTGAAGGGACTACTCATCAATCAATTGTTGAAGTGCTTAACTTTACACAAACAACAAACCAGACTCATCCCTTCAATTGATCAATGAGGTGCTTGTGATTCCACTCTGAAAATAGTTCAAAATTCAAAATTCAAAAATTTCAGATGAAGAGTACATCGGTTTGATGAAATCAAACTGCTGATCAACTTGGTTTTGAATCATTTCATCGAGTTCACTCAATCCAAAAATATAATTGAGTTCCTTGGAGGACGCCAAGCTCAGTTAATTCAAAAACGATCATCAAATTCACTTGACCATCTTTTATCTGATTCAAAAACCTGATCATGTCACACAAAATTTCTTCTGAAGGAGATACAATGAAAAGCAATCATAATTCTTTGATCAAGTTAATCAAATTTCAAAGTCTTTGGAGTCAGTATTTTTTTATTGTTTAGGGCCAATTGAAATTGACTATCAAAAAAATCCACTGCACTCTGAGAACTGAAACAAATGGACCACATTGTTGATAAAATGTCATCTGAACTCATTCAATTGAACCAATTGGTAAATCAAGTACAAATGATTCAACTCCAGCTAAAACATCACTACTAATACACCCAATGGAACTTTAAATCGTGTCCATTGCTTACCAATCAACATATTCAAATTGATGATGACCAACTCATACATATCTGATAGTAACCAAAAAGTGATAGTCTGGAATTGGGGAAACCAATGCATGAGATGGCTTGCTTTAAGGGTAAAAAATCAATTCATCATCAACAATGTGAAGATTATACTAATTTTGAGAAAATATACTGTCAACCTCCACCTGATGAAGTTATCTGATCTAATCTTTCACTATCACTTTTAATTTTGATTCTTGTTTCTATTTTACTTAGCTCCCCCTCTCTCTTCTCACATAAATCAAATCAATGCAAATACCAATCTATCTTCAGCATCTACATGAACCACCACAATGATCACTTTTGCAGTATCCTGATGATCAAGAGATTGGGTCATGGTGGGTTGTGGTCTTCATAAGTAGTCCTACTGACTTGATGAATTTGTTCTTAGTGTATCCTTTGGTTTTCCTTCTGCTGTACCTTTACATTCATTATGCAAGTGCTTCTTTTTGAAAAGGACTAGAGACTACGCGGGCGTGCCCGCACCTTGTCAAACCAACTAAACTTCCTAATTCTGTGGTTTACAAAGTCACCTGAATTCCGCAACAACATACAGCAGAGTCAATCAGGCTTATTACATGTACCCAAAACCTTCATACTTTGTGTGTGTTTTGATGCACTCCCTTCACCTCCATGAGTCACAGTGGGCTTAAAATTCACAGCTTGAGTTGTGGTTCTTCCAATGACACAGAAGGAACTCAACAATGATAAAAATCACAAAAAACTGGGGAGGTCAAAGAGGCACATTTTTTATTGAGGACAAAATTGATTGAAGTCAGATTTGATGAGAAATGAATGAATGATGAAAAAGAAGAAGAATTGACTGGAACCATCTCAATCTTCAGAGGAATAACTGTAGTTTGGATGAATCAAGAGACTTACATGAGTAGATGCTTTGAAGTGTTCATCACAATGCCTTTCAAAAGACAGTGATCACAAACTGCTTTCCAAAGTGTTTAGGTAAAGAAAAACTTGTAGGAGAAATATGCGCATTGAACACACCACAATGATTCAAAACAGAAATAAGATTTGGTACATGTTCAGTCATGGTCAATGAGCAGACTGAAAATTTAGTCCCATTGTTGTGCTTGATATGCATAAAGAAATTTTGATTGATGGAGACCACCAGGTAAGTGAAGGTTTTGATTTGAAAGAGAGGTAGGTGCTTTTCAAAATTTGAATTTGGTCATTCAGATTAATGGTAGAAGAGATTTGTAAGGTTATAATTAGATGGTTATGGTTGTTGATTGATTTGTGATGTATTCCGGAAAGGGATTGGGAAGCTCACCTTTACAAGCCTAAGTGAGGACCAAATACCCTGAAGGACCAAATGAATAGCACAGTGCAGAACAGATATTTGCACCGAACCTATTCAAAAGAGCAACAAAAGAAGTGAATATCATGCTGCAGAAAGTAAAACAACAAACATTAGGAAAAGTAAATACACAGAAAATAAGAAGAAAAAGAGTTCGCATCACAGAAAAGTCGCAGTAAAACTATAAAAAAAAGAACAACAAAGGGAACGGATATAACACTGCATCAAGTCCAGAGCGAAAGTAATAGTGACGCTGAGAGCATCCGCAATCGTCGGGTTAAGTCGCGAGAATAGCTAAGTATTTAACTTACCGATCTCGAAATTTCCACAATGGTCAAATTTCAACCGATCGTTAGTTAGCTTTTCGACAAAAAATCGGTAGGCTGGGACAAAGTTATCCCAGCCTACCGACGCGGTAGCTAACTCCGTGCCCTCAAATTTTGAAAACACAAGACCCACCACACTACACTTCCAAACATCAAGTCACTCACCAACCCTACACGACTTCACCAATGTACCTCGATCCCGACTTGAAGCTTTGCTACCTCTTTGTCCACGACTCCCACTTCAAGTTTCACCTCAGTTTCATTTTTCTTTTTGCATCGATCTCAATCAATTAGTTTCATGTTATCTTAGATGATAATAGAGTTGTTCAAAAAAACATGCTCATGATGAAATTGATTGAGTAATGGATGTGTGGGATCGAAATTAGAAGATGGTAATTGATCAAAAGGGAAAGATCGAGCTCACATTGATGGATGATATAAAAACACAGGAGCACTTGTAAAGAATAAATATGTGATGAAAAGTTATAAAAGGGGCCTCTGATGAAAACAAAACAGTCGATCAGATGCGAAGTCAAACATTTTTGAGAACACAGACAATCAGAAAGGGCCAATTGGGTTGGCTTCAAAAGTGAGGACAGCTTAGCTCCAAGCTAGAGCTGACGACTGTAGGCCCAGTCTTTAACTTGGAGTTTAGCTTTCTTTAACTTGGAGTTAAAGACAGCCACTGTGGAATTTTGTGTCAGATTACTTAGCTCCGGCTAAAGATCTTTAACCTAAAGTTAACTAACTCCAAATTTAACGCAAACGGTTGCGGATGCTCTGAGGGCATTTCAAAAAGTCAAGATTAGTGTTGAAGGAGGCTCCAGGTGAGGTGTTAGAAGGCTCTAAAAAAAGCTCATGAACTCAACAAAAGGTTGACTTAGCAAAGACTTGACTACAAGAGGTCATGGAAAAGTATGGTAGTAAAAAAAAGATGAGGAGAGACAAACAATATGAATCTACAAGGTGCAATTACAAAAAACCGCTTGACTCAAAAGCTCTTCAATTATCACGTAAGACACACTGCCAACATTTTTGGCTCGGATACCAAAATCCGAGGACTCCTCGGATTATGTATCCAAAGTATCATCCGACTTATATCACCCGACACACCATCGACTGTACCAAGCAAAATAATTGTCCGATTTTACGGATCCGACGATGAGCCGACCAATTTCACCACCGAAATATCATCCGATCCAATCCAACCGACCCTTCACCGACTTTATCCAAGCGACGTAATTGTCCGATTTTAAGCATCCGACAATGAACCGATCAATCTGGCGACCGAGATATCATCCGATCCAATCCAACCGACCCTTCACCGACTGTATGTACCTCATCCGACCCAATACCACCAAGCCATTGAGTGACCGAGTATTTTGACATCCGAAGTAACAAGGTGAGTTAATTCAATATCAAGTCGAATCACATGGTCACTTGGCTCGGAAGGAACAGTTTCAACCGACCTAATCCTGCTTCCATCCGAGCTTTTATCTCTCATTTCCGACTTAATCCATATCCCCACCGACCCAACAATTTATTTCACCGAGCTTAATCTGTCTTTCTCCGAGTTAATCATTCAGATTAGTTTTCCAACTCAACCAACAAACTGACAAAACTAGAAAACCAAGATGAGATTCACCAAGAGCAAACAATTATTTCTATTTGTGACTTTATCTAATGCACTTTTACATTTCTCAAGAGCAACCAACAATTTAGAAAATGAAGAAGTTCAAATTTCAATCTCAGATTTCAACCAGAACAAGAAGTCTCAATGTCAAAGAATCAAGAAAAAATCGAATTTCAAGTTGATTTAATTTTTAATTTTTTCAATTTAAGAAAACCAAGGAACTAATCTTTGGAATGATTTTGATCAATATGGAGTGATATTGCTAGACTTATGCGGGTTGTTGTTTCTCATCTTGCTCATGATCAATCTTTAATTGATTCATCTGTAAGTTCATTTGATCTCATCTTGTAATCAAAGTCGAAGTCGAACATTAATGGATTGGTTTGTTTTTGATTAGGTATTGGATACTGCATCCGCTCTGGATATCTCGATTATGGCTGATAACCATCATCACTCTTTTCTCGTCAACAACATCACCTAAAAGAATTCTAACATCATCTGAAATTCTTTTTAATGATTAGATTCTGGTGTAGGTACGACAAAAGCAGAATCACAAAAAAATCTAGGAACGATAGCTAGATCAGGAACCTCTGAATTTTTAAGTACATTAGAAAAAGGAGAAAAAACTGAAACTTCAAATAATTTAATCGGTAATTTTGGATTAGGATTTTATTCTTCTTTCTTAGTAGCTGATCGAGTTTTAGTTTCAAGTCAATCTAATTCAGATGATAAACAATGGGTCTTTGAATCCAATGCTGATGCTGCTGAATTTAAGATTTCTGAAGATCCTTGTGGTAATTCTTTAGGTCGTGGCACTGAGATCACTATGTAAGTTTATTAATTTGGTTTAATTCTCTTTGAATCAAATATTGATAAACTCAAACAACTCATCTCAACTCACTCCGAGTTCTCTACCACCGCTTCAATTTATCTTTGGAGCAAAAAAAGGTTTGTTTAATTCTTTTCTTATACGCATCTTTCTTTTGAAGACTAATTTGACAATGATTTTGAATTTTTTAGTAAAGACTGAAGAAGAAGAAGATCAATCAACAAAAGTTAAAGAGAAAACTGATGAAGAGAAAGATGAAGATGAATTAAAGATTGATAAAGATGAGGAAGCTTCAGAAGATAGTTCGGCTCCTACTACTCCAAAGACTAAGACTGTAAAGAAACAAGTATGGGATCAACTTAACACAAAGGGACCTATTTGGACTAGGTTAGTTTTTTTCAATTTTACTTTTTGATATTGATCGGATGGTTTGTTAAGCTTTGATTATTTGATTGGTTTGTTATAGGGATCCTAAGAAAGTTTCAGATGTTGATTATATCACCTTTTATAAAGCACTCACTAGTCAAACTGAAGCACCTTCATCTTGCATTCACTTTTGTTCATTCAAATCAAGTATCTCAAAAAGAACGAGAAAAAGATTTATAAGTATGGAAAAAGATTGGAACAACCTCAAAAGTAGGAGCAGTAGAAGATATAAAGAATCGAGACAAATTAGCTAAATTGATGAGATTTCATTCATCTGAAGCTAAAGACAAGAAATTAGTTAGTTTAGAAGAATACGTTGCAACAAGAAATCTTCCTTAAGACCGTTTCTGTTCTTAGGTGGGACGAGACATAAAAGTGCCAATTCAAATGTATCTAAAACAAATCCTCATCATCTTCCTTGGAACACTTCAGATCATCCAACTCTTCATTTACCTAATTCGAACGTAGGTTTTAAGAGTTGAATGCAAATGAAGTTGAATCTCGAACTAATTCAACAATTTGCAGAACCACCACGCTTGCTACACTTCCATTCTCAGCATTTGGTTCATCTTCAAAACGGTCAAACAATGGTCAAGCAGTTATCATCACTAGAAATTATCTTTACTTAGTAAGCTTATCTTTCTCTTTTTTTCAAACATTTTCTAGAAAACCTTACTGACGTGTCTTTTCCCTTGATTTAAACAGACTCCATCGTTTCATGGACAACCAACAACGCTTGCCGAATCTGTGGATCAACAAAAAATATCAGAGTTTTCAAAAACTGTGATCGAACTCAATAAACATTTTGGTTGACCTTGGTCTAGGCACTCAAAGAGTTTGTTTCCATTTCCAATCTATCAATTCTTGTTGCTATCAAACTAATGAAATCACTCAAAAATTTTGCTGCTATCACTCCTTCTGTAGTGTGGATCGGTTTTGGAGAAAAGCAATTTGGTCACCAAGTGCTCTTACTACACTGTCACTAGGAGCGTCAGTAGGATTTAAAAAATCATCAATTTTTAATGAGAATTCTCCAATGACATCGAAAATTTTGATAGCTCTTTGTTAGCTGGTCTTATGACAAATTGTAATGTTCGTGTTTTCATACCTACCAAAAATCTCAAAACTGGATTATGGAATGTAAGATCCAACTATTCATCTTTCTTTGATTGTATATTAGCAAAGACTAAAACAATTTTAAGTCAATGTAATGAAGCATCAGCCAAACAAAATCAGTTTACTTCTTCTGAACTCCTAATTAGGACCATAAGTTTGTTTAAGCCTTTCCTTCAGATTGCACCTCTTGGATTTTCTTCACCATCTTTGGGTCTTTATGGGTTTAGATTGGTTGGTCACCGGCAGTCAATTTACACAATGGTGATCTATATCTCTTCGTTGGGACATCAGAGAGGTGATAATCTTTTCCCAGACATCTTCTATATTTGAACAGGATATAATAGAAATTGATATCAATTTCTTTGCTGATGAACATATCTCTATGGCAGTTAAGCTTGAATTTCTTTTTATCTTTTCCTAGACATCTTCTATACTGAACAGAACATAATAGCAATTGGTATTAACTTCTTCACTGATAGGCATAAGGGTAAAGGAAGCATGTAACTTGTTTTTTTTTGAACCAATACATTTGGATTCAGATCCACTGACAGAACTATGTTGGTCAAATTGGAAAATCTCAAAGTCTACAGATGATAAACCTTGATCTTTTCAGAACTTTACAATCCGTTTTGAGAAGATCTAACAGAATTATTCTCTTTGAAGGGGTTGCAACCAATTATGTTATGTATCTTGCAGTTGCTAATTCGAAAGGAGTGGTCTACCTCACATGTGTCTCTCGTCAACTACAATCTACAAATTTGATTGAAATTCATTATCAGTTACTTTATCATGATCTGGGTAATGAATCAACCACAGTGGAGTGAACCACCTCATGATCCTCAGGTACTTGTTTTTATGGATCCGGAATCCTATGCTATATTTCCATACTGATCTTTGCGTATAATCAAAATTTGTAGAGTCCTGCTTTAATCTTTACTGGAGTATGAGAGGTTGAATACAATACAATATAAGACAAAATTCAACAAGATACAATACAAGACAATACAATAAAGTATACCAGGAAATACAAGACAAGACAAGGAAAGAAAAGAAAAGCAGGGAAATACACTGCAATGCAATACCATAAGGAGGTTGCCCTAGGACCTCCCGCGCGCTCTTGATATATCCCGTATCCTGCCCCTGCAGGGTTGCCAGTTGCCAGGGTGTTGAATATTGGATCCTGCAGCCTGCCCTTGGCATTACCTGGTGGGGAGCCAGGGCATACCGGGGGTCAACCAAAGAAGTAGAGAAAACAGAATATTCCATAATGAACACTTTCCATTGTGTTGCATAGCACTTGCAGTATTGCCTAGGATTCTGTTACCGAGAGTGACCTGTTCCCCCTCACTTTCACATATACTGGTGGGGGCATTGTACATTCCTGAGTGGTAAGACTATTCTGTTTTCTCTAATACTTCAATCTATATACCAAGCTGGATTATTGGCATCTCAGAACCTCAACCCCCATCCCCATCCTCAAGTGACAGTCTTAACACAAGACAAGAGATGGGAAGATGAGACAATACACAGTAAAATACATGTATTGTACCATATTGTATTGTATTGTCTTGTCTTGTATTGTCTTGTCTTGTATTATATTGTCTTGTCTTGTCTTGTATTGTCTTGTCTTGTCTTGTCTTGCCTTGTCTTGCCTTGTCTTGTCTTGTCTTGTCTTGTCTTGTCTTGTCTTGTCTGGTCTTGCCTTGTCTTGTCTTGTCTTGTCTTGTCTTGTCTTGTCTTGTCTTGTCTTGTCTTGTCTTGTCTTGTCTTGTCTTGTCTTGTCTTGTCTTGTCTTGTCTTGTCTTGGCTTGTCTTGTCTTGTCTTTTCAGGCATTTGGGCTTGACCAAGGCCGGGCAGCGCCCTGGGGCCAGCCCTGAAAGTTCAGGGCAAGGTCACAGCCCTAGTAGGTATTGTATGTCCTGTATGTAATATATGTAATGCATGTACTGTATTGTAAGTTTTGTATGTCTGGTAGGTATTAGGGGGTTTCAAGTTAGATTTTTTTGACATATTTTTACGCTACAACAACTTGCCCGTTGTTGTAAAATATGCGTAAGTTTTTTACAGCAGGACACCATACAATGTTTTACGAAGATTTTTTTTACAACTTGTCCAAATTTATAAAAATTACGCAAAATAAAATCAAACTTGAAACCCCCTATTGTATGTACTGTGGGTTTTGTGTGTCTGGTAGGTATTATATGTACTGTATGTACTGTATACACTGTGTGTAAGGAGCATACTGTACTGTATGTTTTGTACGTCTCGTAGGTATTGTATGTACTGTAGGTTTTGTGTGTCTGGTAGGTATTATATGTACTGTATGTACTGTATACACTGTGTGTAAGGTGCATACTGCACTGTATGTTTTGTACGTCTGGTAGGTATTGTATGTCTTGTATGTATTGTATGTACTGTATACACTGTGTGTAAGGTGCATACTGTACTGTATGTTTTGTACGTCTGGTAGGTATTGTATGTATTGTAAATTTCTTGAAAATGCTTCAAGCTCACTTTTGAGTTCAAATCTTTGTCTTGGATTGTCTTGGATTCTATCGCACCATATTGTCTTGTTTTGGATGGTACCGCATGTACTGAATGCTCTTTATGTTTTGTGTGTCTGGTAGGTATTATGTGTGGTGTATGTACCACATGCACTGTGTGTAAGGCACGTACTGTACTGTATGTTTTATTTGTCTGGTAGGTATTATATGTACTGTATGTACCTATGTATTGTATGCACTGTGTCTAAGGCCCACACTGTACTGTATGTTTTGTATGTCTGGTAGGTATTTGATGTAATGTATGTTTTGTATACATTGTAAATTCATTGAAAATGCTTCAAGCTCACTTGTCACACCGCGGGAATCATTAAGTGTGAAACCGGATTGAGCAAAGCCGCGGTTTCCGGGTCCGCGACTTCCTTCAATCACGGATCTTGTTTGCCATAGGTTTGCAAGCTCGTCTCAAGCTGCCCTCTACATAGTCATCCACTCAGGCTGTAGTATGGACTAATGGAGGTACCATATGTCTAGACTCTTGTAACATATACATAATAAAGCTCATGACTCATACATGATCTTGAGTGGTCTGAGCCCTTTGCCCCAAAAAGGGCCAGCCAGGAGCAATGGGCTTTGTCAAACTTGGATTTCATAGGCATACAAGTGTGAAGACCTTTTCCAAGCTATTCAATTTTCAGCAATTCACAGCAAACATAAGGTGATAGGATCTTTTATATCATGTGCCTCAATAGTAGCTCTCAGAGGTCCTTACTAATGGTACCATAGTACTACTAGTACGTCATCATATATAATAATCCAAAAAGCAACATTTGGAAAAAAAAAGTGCCATATGGACCCATTTCTTGACACACCAGCCTAAGAAACCCAATGTGGTCAAGGTACACATTGGGTCACATGCTAAATAGTCAGAACAAGTAGGACCTACAGTAACTCCCCTA